TGTCACCTCCCTGTCCCCTCCTGTCACCTCCTGTCACCTCCCAATGTCACCGCCCTGTCACCTCCCTGTCACCTCCCCCTGTCACCTCCTGTCCCCGCCCTGTCACCTCCTGTCACCTCCCTGTCACCTCCTGTCACCTCCCTGTCACCTCCTGTCCCCTCCTGTCACCTCCTGTCCCCACCTGTCCCCTCCTGTGCCCTCCTGTCCCCTCCTGTCCCCTCGTGTCCCCTCCTGTCACCTCCTGTCACCTCCTGTGCCCTTCTGTCCCCTCCTGTCCCCTCCTGTCCCCTCGTGTCCCCTCCTGTCACCTCCTGTCACCTCCTGTCCCCTCCTGTCACCTCGTGTCCCCACCCAGGGGTGGCAGCTCTGAGGTTTTGGGGACTTCGGGATTGGGGTGGGGACAGCGGCCAGGTGGGTGTGGGGGCCTTGGGGACACTGGGGACACCTTGGGGACACTGAGGGGACATTGGGGACACTGGGGACACTGGGGACATTGGAGAGATTGGGGACATTGGGGCATTGGGGGGATTTGGGGACATTGGGGACATTAGGGACGTTGGGGGGACATTGGGGCATTGGGGGGATTGGGGACACTGAGGGGACATTGGGGACACTGGGGACACTGGGGACATTGAGGGGACATTGGGGACATCAGGGACATTGGGGACTTTGGGGAATTGGGGACATTGGGGGACACTGAGGGGACATTGGGGACAATAACGGGACATTGGGGACATTGGGGACGTTGGGGGGATTTGGGGACATTGGGGGATTGGGGACACTGAGGGGACATTGGGGACATTGGGGACACCGGGGAGCTGGGGACATTGAGGGGGGCATTGGGGACATCAGGGACATCGGGGACTTGGGGGGATTGGGGACATTGGGGGACACTGAGGGGACATTGGGGACACCGGAAATATTGGGAGGATTGGGGCCTTGGGGACTTTGGGGACATTGGAGACATTGCTGACATTGGGGACATTGGGACACTGGGGCGACATTGGGGACATTGTGGACATTTGGGACATTGGGGACATTGGGGACATTGGGGACTTTGGGACACTGGGGGGACATTGGGGACATTGTGGAGATATTGGGGACACTGGGGGGACATTGGGGACATTGGGGGGACCTTGGGGACACTGAGGGGACATTGGGGACACTGGGGAGATATTGGGGACATTGGGGACATTGGGAAAACTGAGGGGATTTGGGACATTGGGGACATTGGGGGGACCTTGGGGACACTGAGGAGATTGGGGACACTGGGAATATTGGGGGGATTGAGGGGGTTAGGGACATTGGGGACATTGGGGACATTGGGGACATTGGGGACATTGGGGTATTGGGGATATGGGGGACAGTGGGGACATTGAGGGGACACTCAGGGGGCATTGGGACATTGAGGACACTGGGGAGATATTGGGGACATTGGGGGGATTGGGGACATTTGGGACATTGGGAAAACTGAGGGGGTTAGGGACATTGGGGACATTGGAGACATTGGGGACATTGGGGACATTGGGGACATTGGGAACGTTGGGGGGACATTTGGGGGGATTTGGGACTTTGGGGACACTCAGGGACATTGGGGACCCTGAGGGGACATTGGGGACACTGTGGAGATTGGGGACGTTGGGGACATTGGGGGGATTTGGGGACATCGGGAGGTGGGGAATGGGTGGAGTTGGGTGTTGGGACTTTGGGGTTTTGGGGTTTGTAGGATTTGGGGATTTGGGATTTTGGGGTTTTGGGGTTTTGCGGTTTTGGGATTTTGGGGTTTTGGGATTTTGGGATTTTGGGGTTTTGGGGTTTGTAGGATTTGGGATTTTGGGGTTTGTTTTTTTCGGGGTTTGTGGGGTGTTGGGATTTTGAGATGTTGGATTTGGGATTTTGGGGTTTGTTGAATATGGAGTTTTGGGGTTTTGGGGTTTGGGGATTTTGGGCTTTGTGGCATTTTGGGGTGTTGGGGATTTTGGGGTGTTGCTTTTTGGGATTTTGGGATTTTGGGGTTTCGGGAATTTTGGGATTTGGGAATTTCGGGGTTTGTCGCCCACCGGCGCTCTGGCCGCCGCAGGGATTTCGGGGTTTGTGGGATTTTGGAATTTGTTTGATTCTGGATGATTTTGGGGATTTGGGGATTTTGGGATTTTGCGATTTTGGGATTTGGGATTTTGGGTTTTAGGGCATTTGGGGTTCTTCCCGCGCACGCACCGGCGCTCTGGCCGCCGCAGGCCCCCAGCAGGCGCTGGGCGCGCTCCTTGGCGTCGCTGGGCAGGGACTCGTCCTTCATCAGCTCCGGGCACAGGCACAGCGCCGTCACCTGCGGGACAGCCCGTGACACCGCGACACCATGACACCGTGACACCGTGACACCGCGACACCGTGACACCGTGACACCGTGACACCGCCACCGTGCTGGCCCTGGTGGCCCTGGTGGTGGCCTCGATGGCCCCGTGGTGGCCCTGGTGTCCCCGTGTCCCTGCTGGCCCTGGTGGCCCTGGTGTCCCCGGAGGCCCCATGTCCTCGTGTCCCCAGTGACCCCTGGTGGCCCTGGTGTCCCCAGTGTCCCCGATGGCCCCGTGGTGGCCCTGGTGTCCCCGTGTCCCTGCTAGCCCCAGTGGCCCCTGGTGGCCCTGGTGTCCCCATGGTGGCCCCGGTGTCCCGCTGGCCCCAGTGGCCCAGGTGGCCCTGGGTGGCCCTGGTGTCCCCGTGTCCTGGTGGCCCTGCTGGCCCTGCTGGCCCCATGGTGTCCCCAGTGTCCCCGGTGGTGTCCCCGGTGGTGTCCCGGTGGCCCTGGCGGTGTCCCCGGCGGTGTCCCCATGGTGTCCCCAGTGTCCCCGTGGTGTCCCCGTGGTGTCCCCCTGGTGTCCCCGCGGTGTCCCCATGGTGTCCCCATGGTGGTGTCCCTGGTGTCCCCATGGTGTCCCTGGTGTCCCCATGGTGTCCCCATGGTGTCCCCGGTGGTGTCCCCAGTGTCCCCGTGGTGTCCCCGCGGTGTCCCCGGCAGTATCCCCATGGTGGTGTCCCCATGGTGTCCCCGCGGTGTACACCGGCGCTCTGGCCGCCGCAGGGATTTCGGGGTTTGTGGGATTTTGGAATTTGTTTGATTCTGGATTTTGGGATTTGTTTGATTCGGGATTTGGGGATTTTGGGATTTTGGGCTTTTTGGGATTTGGGCTTTGCGGGATTTTGGGGTTTGTGGGATTTGGGATTTTGGGATTTGGAGGTTTCCTGCGCACCCACCGGCGCTCTGGCCGCCGCAGGGATTTTGGGGTGTTGGATTTTGGGATTTGGGGGTTCTGGATTTGGGGATTTTGGGATTTGGGATTTTGGGATTTGGGATTTTGGGAATTTTGGGTTTTAGGGGATTTGGGGTTTCCCGCACACCCACCAGCGCTCTGGCCGCCGCAGGGATTTTGGGCTTTGTTGGATTTTGGGAATTCTGGGATTTTGGGGATTGGGGATTTCCGCTGCAGGGATTTTGAGGTGTTGGATTTGGGGATTTCAGGGTGTTGGATTTTTGGATTTTGGGAATTTGGGATTTTTGGATTTGGGATTTGGGGATTTCAGGATTTTGGGGTTTTTTCCCGCGCACGCACTGGCGCTCTGGCCGCTGCAGGGATTTTGGGCTTTGTTGGATTTTG